CGGCCTCACGCGTCAGGCAGATGCGGGGTCAGCCCCTGATTCAGACGGGCCCGCGCAATCACGAGCTCATGATGAGCCGGTCGGTGCCTCCGGATCGTCTGCGGCTCCTGCGGCATCTCCCCCACCATCGCCTCGGGCCACAGCCACAGAAAATCCCATGCATCCGGAACCGACAGTGGCGGGCGGATCTTCCTCGGGTTCTGCTGCTGATCTGGCTCCTGCGGGATCTTCTATGGCTGCAGATCCTGCTGGTTCGCCAAAACGCCGCACAAGAGTGCAGCAAGGTTTGATTCAACCGAAAAATTACAAACACATAACCAAATATGGTCTAGTTTGTTCCACAGGTGAACCAGGTGAGCCCAACACAATTGAAGAGGCTCTCGGTGATGAAAAGTGGAAAAAGGCAATGGTAGAAGAATATAAGGCACTTGAAAGAAACAAAACGTGGCACTTGGTTCCCCCAAAGCAAGGTAAAAACCTCATTGACTGCAAGTGGGTATTCAGAATTAAGAGAAAGTCTAACGGAACCATTGATCGCTATAAGGCTAGACTAGTTGCAAAAGGCTTCAAACAACGATATGGCATAGACTACGAGGATACTTTTAGTCCAGTTGTAAAAGCTGCTACCATTCGTCTCGTATTGTCTATTGCTGTTTTCAGGGGATGGAGCCTTCGACAATTAGACGTATAGAACACGTTTCTTTACGGTGTTCTGGAAGAGGAAGTGTACATGAAACAACCTCCTGGGTTTGAAAGCAAACATACACCCTCCTATGTATGCAAGCTAGATAAAGCATTATATGGACTGAAACAAGCTCCAAGGGCATGGTATTCCCGTCTCAGTAAAAAGATGCAGACACTTGGCTTTGTTCCTTCCAAATCTGACACCTCCTTATTCATTTATAACAAGTTCAACACCTCCATGTTTGTTCTCATATATGTTGATGATATTATTGTCACAAGCTCATCTAATGAGGCAATATCAGGACTCTTGAAGGATTTAGGTGCTGAATTTGCTCTCAAGGATCTAGGAGAATTGCATTATTTCCTAGGAATTGAGGTGAAGCAGCACAAGGATGGGCTACATCTCTCTCAAGAAAAATATGCAACAGATTTGGTAAGGAAGGCAGGTTTGCAAGGTTGTAAACCCACACCCACTCCTCTCTCTAGTACGGAAAAATTATCTCTTACAGAGGGAACACTTTTGGGTCCAGAGGATTGTACAAAATACAGAAGTCTTGTAGGTGCACTTCAGTACTTAACATTGACCAGGCCAGACATCTCTTTTGCTGTCAACAAAGTATGTCAGTTCCTACATGCACCCACCACAGTTCACTTGACTGCAGCCAAGCGCATTGTCAGATATGTCAAGTATACTTTGAATGTTGGCCTAAATTTCAGCAAGTCACCCTCTACTCTTGTCAGTGCCTTTTCTGATTCAGATTGGGCAGGATGCTTGGATGACAGACCCTCCACTGGTGGTTTTGCAGTATTTTTTGGACCTAACCTTATATCATGGTGTGCTAGAAAACAAGCCATAGTGTCCAGGTCAAGCACTGAAGCAGAATACAAGGCCTTGGCCAATGCAACAGCAGAAATCATTTGGGTACAGTCTATCTTGAAGGAGTTAGGTGTGGAAAGCCCTCAAGCTCCATGCTTATGGTGTGATAACCTTGGTGCCACCTATTTGTCTGCAAACCCAGTATTTCATGCCAGAACAAAGCACATTGAAATAGATTTCCATTTTGTCAGAGAAAGAGTTGCTAATAAACTCTTGGACATTCGTTTCATTCATTCACGGGATCAAGTGGCAGATGGGTTTACAAAAGCTTTGCCTACAAGGAGTTTCGAAGATTTCAAGCATAATCTCAACTTGATGGAGTTGTGATTAAGGGAGGGTGTCAAACGAGATATGTACGAGGAGATAGATAAGATAGATAGCCGCATGGTAGTTTAAATTCTGTATTCGGTTGTAACTATCTCCTGTACTTCTTCTCCCTCAAGTCATGTATCTCCAACAGAATTGTACGCGTATCAGGGACTCGCAATCCCCTATATAACACGTACCACGTCCCCCTCGAAGGGTAAGACGTTTCTGCTCCGCACATAAGTGATACTTATTCTGATTCTGCATTTACTGCTTCAGCTATGTCCTAATCTAAAGTTTTATAAATTGTGTAAATGGAGGTCTCATTTCTGGTACAAACATAAGAGTAATGAGGTGGCGATGGACCAACTTATTCTCTTGCAGAAATAGAAAAAAGCATGTTTAAACATAGCAATTTTGAAACTAAATTCCCAATAATTGTTGTCTTCATTCTTTGCTGGTTTCAGTTTAGATACATATGTTAGTTCATTAATGGTTTGTTATTGTTCTATAGAATTTCGAAGATGGCTCAAACATCATTAGAATGAGCAGGATGAATTTAGTAGATCTTGCTGGATCTGAGCGGCAAAAGCTAACCCATGCAGCTGGGGATCGCCTAAAAGAAGCAGGAAATATAAACCGGTCACTTTCATTAGTTGGGTATGGTTCTATTTATTTTTAAATAGCAAAGTTAAAGAATTATGTCAGGTCTTTGTTAATTGCTTTGTCTAGGCTTACGCTATGTTGGTGTATTTGTGAGACCTTTTTTCGCTAGACTTGGACCACTTGGTGTATTTTAGCAGAGTAGATAGATCTCGTTAATCACTGTACCAAAAGAATCACCATGTACATTTTGTCATGATATGCTAATAGGCGTGGAATTAAGGTTCTGATCAACATGCTTTTCATCACTGCAGAAACTTGATTAATATACTAGCAGAAAATTCACAATCTGGAAAACAAGGGAAGCACGTTCCGTATCGCAATTCAAAGTTGACATTTCTATTACAAGAATCCCTGGGTGGTAATGCAATGCTTGCAATGATTTGCACTGTTTCACCTTCAGAAAGGTATTATCCAAGTTGAACCAAAAGTTAGTTCTTTTTGTGCTCTTCTTCTGATGTTGTTTCATCACTATATTTTCTGTGTTTCTGTACAGCTGTAAGAGTGAAACCTTGAGCACTCTAAGGTTTGCTCAACGCGCCAAGGCTGTAAAAAACAGGGCAGTTGTCAATGAAGAAAAAGAGGACGGTGTCAATGCGCTGCATGCTCGGATCAAGCTTTTAAAGGTTCTATCTATTGCGTTGATATTGAAAACACAATTTCTCCATCATATCGTTTTACACATTGACTCAAGTTTGACCGCTAATATTTCGTTGCAGGATAACATTGCGGATGCTGCTGATGGGGCTGGGGCTGAGAGTAAAGGGATGGCTCCGGCAGATGAGCTCAGGGCTGAGCTTGAAGCAAGCCAATCTCTTGTTGGGAGGCTGCGGTCGGAATTGGAGTCGGAGAAGAAATGCGCGAAGGAGGCACTGGAAGCAGCAATGCAGGCGTATTCTAGAGTCTTGGTGCAATATGCTGACCTTGAAGAAAAGTACATTCTTGATGGGGTCGAGGGCCAGCTGAAGGAGACATCTGAAGCTCCCGGCGAATTGCAATGCAAGTACGACTGAAGGAGGCTGAGGAGGCGACAAGAGTTGCCGAGGTACGAACACCATTTCGGTAGACAAAGCAGCAAGACATTAAAGGTAGACAAATTATAACTTGCTTCTGTTGCATGCAGCGCCGGGCCTTGTTGGCAGAGCAGAATATCGACATGCTGATCAAGGAGAACGTCGCGCTCAATCAACGGCTGACAGAGAAGTCAGAGCGCAGATCGCTGGAGGTGACGAAGAGCACGGATCTCCTCTTGCGGTTCTCCGGTTACGACAGAGGCAACTTCTGAAGATGCCGGCACCATGTAGTGTACCAGCTTAAAGAGGAAGGAATGGGTAGTGGCTACAGCTTGCAGTAAGTTGGTAATTCCACTCCGCTCTGTATGGAGACTCCTAAAAGGATCATGAGAGAAAATATCAACTGCAGCACGCAGATGACAGGCTACAGTTTTCTTCTACCTTCCCCTTGCCCTTGACTTAGCAATTTACTGTTGGCTTTGCTTTGGTACAGGAATACTAGCTAGGAGTATAGCCTCACTTCTGCTGTAGATAAGTGTTGAAAATACAAGGGGCGCACCTACTAGTTACTGTAATTTTTTGTGTAGAGTTTGCACTTCTGCTACATTACGATGACAAGTAAGATAAGTTTGATAACGACTTTGCGACTTGACTGAATGTTCTCTACTTGTGTGAATTGCTATCATACTAGAAGAGCATCTACGGCACAAGTATACATCATGCTTTCCTGAGCAAGATTATTACTCCCTCCTTCCCAAAATATAAGGCACGGTTTGACTTTTCTGGTCTTCGTTTCACAACTTTGACTATATTTTTTATGTATTATATGTCTATAAAATTATTATACATGCATATGAAATAAAATTGCTTTGCAAGACAAATACAGCGGTGTCATTTATACATGTTCAATCCATATACTTTGATATATATTAGTGGTCAAAGTTGTGCATCAAAGACCGTAAAAAGTCAATCGCGCCTTATATTTTGGGAAGGAGGGAGTACTTCAGTTTTCAAGTCACTCTCTGTGAACCCAGGGGTGGTAACCAGACGAGATGTGTCGATCAACTACTCTGCCAATTATTGGTTTTAGCAAGCAATCATATTCCATGAGATGTTTTGAACCATTATTTGCACCTCATAAACTCATCCCATTAGATGTTTTAATGTGCTTTGGTGTATATCCATTTTACGACACATGAGCCCCGACTTTAAGATGTTGCCCCCAGCTTTATGTTCGCTATGTCCATGCCACACACACAAGACTCCGCAAGAAAAGCCGGAATTGCTGGTTAAACATTGGTTAATCTACATATATGTAGGCAGGCACAGATTATATATACATCATGTTTCTGTACATCATTCTATCATCTTGTATGTGTGTGTGGTTTGCATGAAAGGAAAAGGAGAAATAACTCTCTAATTTCCTGTCAAAAGAAGAAAACAAAACTGAGAGCGCTTCACAAAAATGATTCCCGGATCACCCGTGCGAATACACGAGATGACAACCGGCTCAGGACATCTGGTAGGATCTTCGACGTGATGCTCGGCAACACGGGTAGAAGCTCTTGCACCAGAGACACGACATTTACGTCCTGCCATCGAAAAAAATAATAATGTGTATCAACATCAGTAACATTCCATGTTAGCCTTTTGTGTTGCCTAATAGGAAAGATATGTGATAACAGTTTTAGCAAGCATACCCCGTTGGCTGTTGGATTTGCCGTCCCAGCCGATAGAAACTTGACGACCTTCTCGACGTTGTTCAAGATGACCCTGTCTTCCTCTGTGATTGTAGGAAGCAATGCTCCGGACCTCACAGGAACCATGCCGAAAACCGGGACGGGATTTCTGACCCCAAAAGATGAAGCAATTTGTAGCAATTGCTCCCTTGAAACCGCGTCGATGGCTTTCACAATCTGCGGCATACAGAAGAATAAAAGGGATCAATACAACATAAGCACTTGACCGAATGTTCTAAAGGTACATTTCCACCATTCAGTAAATCGCTCCACTGAGTGCAACGGGTACTCCTTAGATCTTTGTTAGCTCTTGTGACTTGAGAGCTCACCTCATCAAGAATGAACTCCCGGAAGAAGTCACCCCTGTCAGAGAGTAGAAACGAGAGAGCAGCCCGGGCTTTGATAGGGTTCTCGGGTTGGGAAATGGCCATTGGGAATGCAGGAACTAAACTGGTGCTAGGTTGGAATCCTATAGCACCCAGCTCCGCCATGTTACCCTTCATGTCCTCCCCACCACCACTCTTGGCTGCACTAATGAAATTCTCGAAAGCTTGCATGACGTCAATGAACCTCTCTGCGTCAAAGACACCTGTTTTGCCATATATTGTGTAACGCAAGGCACTCCTTAGTCGAGGTGATTCATCCGTTAGCAGCCTCTGTTATAGGCAACCAAAACCACAAATCAGTGATACCAAAACTCATTTCAACATCACAAACAGATCAAAGGAAGCAGTTCTCTTTTTGAAAACTGAGGAAGGAATGTTTTAATAGCTACTCCCTCCGTTCCAGAATATAAGTCTTTCTAGATATTTCAATAAGTGACTACATACGGAGCAAAATGAATGAATCTATACTTTAAAATATGTGTACATACATCCGTATGTTGTATTCCATCTGAAATGTCTAAAAAGACTTATATTTAGGAACGGAGGGAGTATATGTGTATCTTGTGTCTTCTTCCTTAGATATATTATTACTACTAAGAACATGGTCCTTGGAAAACAATAGAAACATGAGGTGATGGCATGAAAATGAATAAAAGGTTGAGATGCTGACCTGTGCAATATATGGATATGCTTCATCCACAATGGCAAATTCAGGGTCACCCACCAAAGCAATACCTTCTAGTACTCCAATTGCTCTAATAATCAAAGCAAAATACGGAGGTATCTTGAATGGGTAATCAAATGTTATCTGTGCTAGATCCGCTGCCAACTCTTGAAAGTTAATATTCTTCGCACCACCTCCTTCAAGTGCCTGATCAAAAACTTTAGCCAGCACAGGTAAGATTGGATCCAAGTTAACTCCCTCAGGGATGAAACCAAGCTTCACAAAGTCCTTCACGATTGCATCATAATCACGATGAATAAGGTGAGCTATTGCTTCAATCATTCCGTACTTCTGATCATCTGTCAGTTTTGTCACAAGCCCTGCAGCAAATAAGGTTAAATTTATTATCTATTTTCATGTGTATTATGAGAGATGGGAATAAAATGTACAGAAAATAGGCATAAAATTTATCACTAGCTGAAATTTAATCAGCAGAATTAGTTTACCATATTCTGCAATATTTTTTGTACCAAAAGGAATACAAACAGGCTGACATATGCAAATGAAAAGCTTCAATGGTTTGCACTTGTTATGCTTAGTCTACTGTACGGCGCACTAATTAGTAAAACAGGTTGAAAAAACACTGTGAGTACACGGCATCATACTGCTAGTAAGTTAGATCAAATTCTTAAGTCATTTGAATTACTACACCACATAATGGTTAAATATTCATAATTTTTGTTTACCACTTCATACGGAACATAGTAAAACTGTAGGTTGTACATGAGAAGCATAGGGTATCCATGCTCTTGACTTACCAAAATCAAGAATACAAAGCTTTCCATCTGGTGTCCTAATCATATTTCCAGGATGAGGGTCAGCATGGAAGAATCCAGTATCAAGTAACTGCAATGCAAGTTCTTCTTTGAGAAAACGGTTTGAGGGAATAAACATTTCTTCCCGTCAGCAGGTGGGTGTGCAATGAACCAATTCAGAATGACATGAGTAAATGTACATAAAAGAAGAAGAAAAACAAACCTGCTTTAGATAGCATATAACACCAACATTAACCAATGACCCAACATCATCCTCAGTACTCTGTGAAAGCTTCTCACCATCTACCCACCCTGTGGTAAGAACTTTTCTAGACGTATATTCAGGGTATGTCCTTGGTACAACAACCTGTAGGATTGTTGAATAAGTCAAGAAGTTAACAGCCTGAATGTGAAGCTACCAAGCATATCTGTAGCAAATACTGAATGCAAAATTCCAACTCTTCAACAATACAAAAATGTACCATTCAGTAAAACCATATCATTGCACTGCCTCTACCAGACTATGAAAGCAATTTACCTGAGGAAGATCTTCTCTCATCATTTCAGCGAAGAGGGTGCCATTTTCCCCTTCGTTGACATAATCAAGTTCTTCAAAAAACCGGGCAGCCCACTCATCTACTAGGCCAACAACATCAAGGGCGACCTGGCAGTATTCAGCAATTTCAGTGTGAGCTAATGAAGACAGTTTCTCCGTCATTTTTCATCAAGAAGAGGGAAACACTCACCTGTGGAAACCTCTTGAGAACCAACCCCAAGTTTCTAATGATGAATAGATCTATGGTGACAGTCTCAAGTACGAATGGCCTCTGCACTTTCACAGCTACCAGTTCTCCAGTTTCTTTCAACCGGCCTTTGTACACCTGTCCCAGAGATGCTGCAGCACGATACACAATTAGTTCAGACTTAACCGATCAGTACGGCAAGCGGCTAATACCAAGATTTCTAGAATAATTACCTGCAGCAATCGGGGAGGGAGACAGTTCGGAGTATATGTCTTGCCATGGCCGGCCAAGCTCTTCCTCCAGGAGAGCCATCGCGATATCGTCAGGAAACGAAGGAACCTTGCCGCAGCAGCGCACAACCCAGTTAGTAAACTTGAGCTACACTGGACTCTGAACAATATATGTATGCTTTGCGTGGTAACAAGGCCAATATAACTATGTACTATGTAATAGCAATGTTCACCTTGTCGCATAGCTTCTGCAGCTCGGTCATCGCCGCAGGGGACAGAATGTCGGGCCGGATGCTGAGCGCCTGGCCGAGCTTGATGTAGGCAGGGCCCAGAGACGTGACGATCTCCCTCAGCTCGATCGCGCGCGTCACTTCGTTCTGTCCAGAAGAGAAGGTTCGTCGGTCAGCAGATGATTTTACGGGTTCTGAAGACAAATAGCAGCACGGCTTATGCATGAATGAATGGATTGGGGACAGCACTACCTCCTTGATTTTGTCGGTGATGAGGTCCGATATGATGTGGGAGATGAACCCACCGGCCACGGACAGGAGCTGCACGGCTCGGGTGGCGACGGCGCCCGGGCGTTTGCCCCAGTAGGCCGAAATGATGTCGGGGCTGTACACGAGAGGCAGCCCCTCGGTGTTGGTCACCTAATAAAAGCACACAAAGAAAGGGCAGCAGAATTCAGAGCACAGCCTAGTGCAGCAAGCGAGTGTAGAACGAAATTCAGACCATAAAAGAGCTGATTGAATGGTCAAATTCCATGGGTGTGATCAAACCATGCGGAATTGCATTAATTGGGTGCACTGGAATGGGGATGGAGGTGGGGGAAGGGAGTGAGAGGAGGTACCTCGACGAGGCGCATGGTGACGTCCTTGTCGGCGAACTGGTCGTCGCGGAGGTTCTGGCCGCGGAGGCCGCGCATGAGGGAGGCCAGCTGCTCGTCCTCCTCCATCTGCTTCCGCACCCGCTTGATCTCCTTGGACACGTCCCCGAACCTCTGCGTAGCACATCCATTCGTCAATCCAGAGCAGAGAACGGAGTCAGTCAGTCAGTCAGCGAGACCATCGTCGTCGTCAGAGGTGATGGTTAATCAAGAAGGCGGAGCGGAGGGGGCTTACGGTGGACTGGATGGTGTTGGCCCTGGTCCTGCCGGTGCGCGGGGGGGCCGGCGGGGGCCTGGGCTCGGTGGCGACGGCGAGCACGCGGCGGAGGCGGCGCTGGTGTTGGTGCTGCTTCCCGGAGCGGCGCGGGAGCGGGGAGACGAGGCCGGCCACGACCCGGCCCCGGCCGAACCCCCCGCACTGCAGCAGGCGCGGCGCCGGCGCCGACGCCGACGCGGCGGCCTCCATGGTGAAAGGAGGGAAGGAAGGAAGGTTGATCGAGGTAGTGTAACGGAGGACGGAGACGCCGAGACGTGGAGGCGGTAGGGAGCGAGTGGTAACCGAGGTTGGGGAAAAAGTTTGGCCCTCCCTCTCCTCCACTCTTTGTGCCGTGCGGGTGGGCGGGGGCGCGTCCACGCGCGCGGCCGCCGCGTTTGTGGCTGTCCCGCCCCGTCCCACGGCGAACGCATGGACGGACGGCGCAAAGACTCGTGGCCCGCCCCGCCACTCGCCCCGGACGTGTCCGCACCTGATTCGAGCCTTCAGGCAGACGCCCCACCACAACTCTCCCGCAAGCTCATCAGTCCACGACAGCAGAGGACGATGCTGCTGCTCCAGGGTCCAGACCAACTCGGCTGCCAAAAATCGACGGCGACGTAGCTTTCCCATGAACAAGCAGTCACTTTTGTCACCTGTAACACATACTGCTGGAACAGCGATTTGCCCTTTTTTCTTTTCTTTTCTTTTCTGTTATCGTTAAACTTCATTCATTTTCGCCTCCAACGCGGCAGTATGTGTTACAGGTGATTTTACAGGCACGGCAGAACGTCGTGCGGCTACGATCCCTTCAACGGACCGATGAACATGGTTGCTTACGCGCCGTGGCAACCCCCGGGGGGCTAAGCAGCAGCAGGAGAAGAAGAATACCGCCCACCCCCCCACCCTTGTGTTCTGGATTTGCTTGTACTACCAATGTACGCTTCATGGTGTTTTTGCACCGGGCATCTTCCCGTCCTTCTCGATCGCCCGCTGCCTCGCCCGCTCCATCTTCCGCTTGCGCCACTCCTCCAGAGCTGCACATGTTTGTGCGGAAATATTCAGTTTCCACAGACTACCAAGCGAGGTAAAGAAGCATTTGGTTGCTGCATACTGTCTCTATCAGATGCACAAAGCAGCAACCCGCAAATAAAAAGTAGCCCATAGCTTACAAACCACATAGCACTAGTGCGCAAGAATGATAGTCTTGGGAAAAAAATATATTACTTCCTGCGGAGAACAATGTAAATGCATGCATAATTTTGCATCAGTCATGTTTACATGCGTCTGCCTTTGCAGCCGTTGACAGGCTATAATGGAATGACGGAGCACAAAAGACCAGCCTAGGATTCATGATAGTTAAGCATTGCAAACACTAATCTCAATGGTTCACATTGTCGACAGTGCTGTGATGAAGCGCTCTAAGTATTTACAGATTCAGTCTGGCTGACAATTCTACTGTGCAACCAGCCTTCTATTCTATTCCATAGGGGATGTCATGCTAGTGGAAGCCACAATGATGGCCAGCAAACGTAAAAAGAGAGAAATCGTTCTCCTATGGATCCAGTGCCTCAGCAAATCAACAAGATTATTTTTAAAACATGTGAGCTTGCAGGAAGCTGCTGAGCCAATATGGGTAGACAGCTATAAATGCCATTTCAAAGCACTGTTACTTGTAAAACTATGTACCAAAGCGTCAAGGTTCAAACAATATAGATTATTCTGCCGACTGTTCAGAGATAAATACTTACTTTCTTTTATCCATATTGCTCCATAGATAGCAAGTTTTAATTAGTATAAAAAAACTAAACCAATGACTATTCATGATTCCATCCATATTGGATCAATTCTCTATACCACTTTGCAATGAAAAGAGGAATGTTTGTTATGGTAAAACTTCGTTTAAAACGATGTGGTAGAAAGCAACGTGTGCCCCCTAGATAGCAGCAAAGACAAGAGGCTGAGATGGGTCAAATAACCTCTTTGGCTGCTGCCGTCATTCCCTTGCCGTAAATCTTTCAACCTCTTCGATAAGTCAACAGCAGCCGTCCCTTCTTGCGTTGCTGACATGCCAGGCTCTCCGTAAGCTTCTTGCTCAATTTCCTTCACCTATGTCATAATGTTGTAATCAATGAGAATTACCAATCGAGTATATTTCTTCTTCTCGTTTAGCAATGCAGTGAATATTATTTCTTTCTTCATATCATGAGAAACAAAGGAACAAACTGTCCATTTACTTACCCTCCTAATCAAATCCACAGGCTCCATAGCACGGCGCAACTCTTCAGACTCCCATATATACCGTAGCTGAGCTGCCAAAGAGTAGCACCCGGTCTTCCCACTCAGCTGAATAATCAAGGGATAGTGAAGTATTTGCAGCTACATGATCTAATTTCTACTCCCTTCGTTCCAAAATAAGTGCCTTAACCTTAGCACAACTTCATTTTGGGACGGAGGGAGTACAAAGGAAGTTATCACCCATGATTTGAATCTATCATTTCTAGTGGAAGAAATGGGTCTAATCTTTCCCAGTGCTCGTGTCTGCAACGAGCAGACCCACATTTCATTTTGCTTAGCGTTAATCCAAAGTTCATACCCTACAGTTACTTTGGACTGAAGAAAATTGTTCGCGATTTGCCTAGATTTACAGCGCCTGGTGGCCACTGAATCGCGCTAAATTTGATACCAAATCGACCGGATTTCTCGACCCTAGCAGTTCCAGCAGCGGACCAGGTTCTACTACGGTGTAAAATCAGCTGGGGATCACGATTCGTTACCTGAATCGAACCGGTGGCCGCCGGCGATCCGCGGCCAGGACGAGAAGAGGCTGCGGAGGAGGAGCGCCACCGCGAGGACGTTGATGGCGCACAGGGCGACGGTGGCGTTCTTGTAGGACAGCCTCGAAGCCGCCGTCATCCCGCCTACGGCGCCGGCGACGGTGGGGGCGGTGGCGCAGAGCTCGCCGTAGAGGACCAGAGGAGGAGGAGCAGGGAGCAGACGAGGAGGCCCACCCCACCAACCGGAGCACGGTGGTTCGCTTTAGAGGAGATGCGCGTCACCAAACGGGCCGCGGCCCAGTAATGTTCCAACGCTGCGGGGCCCATGCGGCCCAACTGGGCCAGCAACAACTAGATTCCAACCCGACCCAGCCTACGTCTCTCTCACCACACACCACAGCTCTCGGCCTCCCCCTCTCCCTCCCCTCCTCCGACTCCGACGACCACCACCGACGGCGGCGACGATGCAGGCGGCGGCGGCGGCGGCGCGGCGCCACCTCCTCGACCAGCACCACCTCTCCCCGGCCTCCTCGGCCGCCATCGCCGCCTTCAGATCCGCCGCCCAGCCGGCGCTCGCGCCCCAAGGTAACGTACCGCATCGGCCGAGATGCGCGCGGCCCGGGGAGGGATCTCCCCGTGGCCGCCCGCCAGCCTCGCCGCGCGCGACATGGGAGGGCGGATCTCACCGGTGGTTACGTTTGGATTGCAGGGCTGGGCGGGGCGGATGGCGCGAGGTACATGTCCGCCAGGGCGCCGGCCGTCAAGGGGGCCGGGCATCTCGTCCGCAAGGGCACCGGAGGGAGGTCGTCCGTGAGGTGAGAGAGCTTAACCATTTCTCCTCGGAACTATGATTGAATGCGTTGGGTATTCCATTGTTGTACTGGTGGTAGGCGTTTGACGCTCTAGGTTTGGCCTGGCGATTTCATTTCTGTGTTTGTTGGATTACGTTGATGATGTGATCTCTTCGCGCGGCCATAGTAGAGAGGTGGTGCGCAATGCGGTGATGATGCCATGACCGCAGCCTTGATGCTTAGTTTTTTCAGATCATGTATCTCGCATGTTGCATTTGCCTACTGGTGTCTAATTAAGTTGTCCAAATGATCGATGCCGTGCCTACTGGTCGTACTGTGCAACTCGACGTCTTAAATATTTAGTGATTATAAGGATTCAAAGAGCACTCATGGGTTGTTTACTTGCGGACCTTTGTGAATTGGCGCATCCCAACTTTTAGTCCAGCCTCTACCGCTGCAACCCTGTTGTGACCTGTACACAGCTTGTCCTGAAAATCTCTGAAAGCACGGTTTTAGCTAAGTTGAGGTGAATTAGTGTTTTGCACACCGTAGTTGGTAAAGTAGTGACTACTATCTCTATGTGTAGGTATTAACACTGAAAGGCATGGTGTTGAGCAAGAATACAATATATGAACCTTTGCAAATGTTGTTCGTTATTCTTCCATGCTACAGCACCATTTCCTTTCTTGTCCTGATATGTGGCAAACATGTGAAATTTGGCACTTGATATTGTAGTGTGTGGTGTGCAATGTGCCGATGTTTTCTGACCCATCATGTTCATTGCATCTTTGGATCGGAATCGGCTGATGACTTATTTTGTTAGGATAGCCTTACTCTGTCAGTGTTTCCCAGGTCTAACACGAGAAACCATTGTGGCTTTTCTTGACAGTGGAATCGTCGCTACGGTGTTTGGAGCTACTGGATTTCTTGGACGCTATGTCGTTCAACAACTTGGTGAGATGATAAGACTTGTGCTATATCGGCTTAGTTGTCACTTAAAGAGTAATTTTGTAGAGAGAGTACCAGAGTGGTTTAGAAGGATTACTCAAAAATGTTATTTTTATTCAGCGAAGATGGGATCTCAGGTTCTTGTCCCATTTAGAGGTTGTGAGGATTCTCACCGCCACCTGAAATTAATGGGTGACTTGGGTCAGGTACAAGAACTGTTAACAAATAGTGTTAATCATTAACTCCATTTCCTCTTTCCCTCTTATGTATTTCCATCATTCTGGCAGATTGTTCCAATGAACTACAACCCAAGAGATGTGAATTCGATTAAGACTGCCGTGGCCAAGTCAAATGTGGTCATTAACCTCATTGGTATTTTTTCTTGAGACACATTATATTCATATGCATATCTCATTCTGCTTATATCGACTCAATTTTGACAGGACGGGAGTATGAAACAAGAAACTATGGGTTTGAAGAAGTAAACCATCAGATGGCTGAACAACTTGCAATGGTATGTCTTGTGTACACATGCATTTTTCTTCCTGCTGCATGCTTGCTATCCAACTATGTAGACTATTGCTGCAAGGGCCACTGAGTATTAGGAGTAAAGGAGTAAATCCCTTCCAACCATATGAACTAACTTGAGTTCTTGTCCCCATACTCCGGCCCACATATCCTCGACCTGAGATCTCATTCGTGCACAAGGCAACCATTCTGCTGGTTTGTTGCATATGAGTGCTACCTTTAGCTTGGCATAATGAATCATAGCCGTTATTCCAAACTGTATATCTTCAGATTGACCTTGGCTTGGTTTCATCCAGCATTGCTCCAGAGCACAAGATAGTCTAGCTTGCTACTCTGGCTGCCTGGCATGTGGCCTTTGCAAAAGATATTCTATTAAATTCTACTTTCTGTAACATGTGGTCTCACATAGTCAGATTAATAATTTTATATAGCGACCAGCTACTAACAAGTTCTGGATTTTACGCAGATATCCAAGGAGCATGGGGGTATCGTGAGATTTATCCAGGTTTCTGCTTTAGGGGCATCCGCCTCTTCACCTTCTAGATTGCTTAGGGCGAAGGCTGCTGGAGAGGAATCTGTGTTGAAAGAATTTCCTGAAGTAATAATCTTAATTCTTGTTGCTGTACTACCCCGAGTTAGCAGTTGAATATTTTCCATTTATGTAGTCAATGACTGCAATGCAATTTTTTTCTTTATTATCCATCAACAGGCTACAATTATGAGGCCTGCAACCCTGATTGGCACAGAAGATCGGATTTTGAACAGATGGGCAATGTATGCCAAAAATTGGGGTTTCCTCCCACTTTTTGGCGGTGGATCTACAAAGTAATGAGTTAGCATCTTCACTTGTATCATATTTCATTGGCTTCAAAATTGAGCCTAGAGCATGGAATGATGTGCTCCTATAGATATCTTGGATGCTTTCACCAGCAGCTGAATTACTTGATGCAACATTCTGCAGGTTTCAGCCTGTTTACGTTGTGGATGTTGCGGCTGCCATTGTCAACTCCCTCAAGGATGATGGCACCAGCATGGGAAAGACCTATGAGCTTGGTGGACCAGATATTTACACTGTTCATGACCTGGTAATTATCAAACACAACTGCTATGCAACAATAAACACTAAAATTGTATATGCAAAGGTGATGATTTTGTTGGATGTTACAGGCTGAAATGATGTTTGAAACAATACGCGAATATCCAAGATACGTGAATCTTCCTTTCCCTATTGCAAAGGTACGTATATAAATAGCAGCGCTAGGAGGTTAAGACAACCTGAGGATGTGGTGGCCTACATATTGACTTCTTGTTTTGCAGGCTATGGCTTCTCCAAGGGAAATGCTGCTAAACAAAGTGCCTTTTCCTCTGCCAACTCCCTCCATTTTCAATCTTGATCAGATCAAGGCACTCACCGTAGACAACCTAGTGTCTGAGAATGGTAAGCATACCGCCCACAAGTAATACAACGGTCGGTCTTGTTGGTCGTTACTCTTGGCTTTGGCTCACATTGTTTCCTGAAACTTGGTGCAGCTCTCAGTTTTGCGGACCTGGAAATCAAGCCTCACAAGTTGAAGGGTTACCCTACCGAGTTCCTTGTCTGCTACAGAAAGGGCGGGCCGTCTTTTGGTTCTACTGTCAGCGAGAAGATGGGGAGTGCGGATGTGGCCCCCCGGTTCTGAAGACGCAGTAGAATCGGTGATCATTTAGTTGAAAGATAAAATTGTTGTTGTGTTTTGTTACCTTGCCATCCTGACGCTGATGCCAGACGCCTCACCGCAGGACCAGATTTGATGCAAACGTTGCCTCCTGCCCTTGTTTTAATTATCAATAATAAGAAAAGGCACGATGTATTGTGAATCTTTGAGTTGCAAATACAAGTAAAGGGAAGCAAATTTTTTTTTTTTTTTGCAGGCAAGTAAAGCGAAGCATTTTGACGGCGACTGACACGTTTGCAGAGATTTCAGGGTATAAATCTCATCGCTCGTGTGGCTGAGCAGTAAAATTGTTTTGATGGATCTGTTTGCTGCTGAATGCTCTAGGATGCTTACATGTTTTGATATAATGTAATGATTAGAAGAACAAAATCCTTTCTGAAAATGTGTGGCTGGATAACACAAATATGCAGTATGAGTTTGCCCTCGTATCTCCTTCAAGTTTGTGCCCCGCTGCCTAGGTTTTTTTTTTTTTTTGAGAACCGCTGCCTAGGCTATAGCAGGCATCTCTGTGGCTGTCGTCTGGGCCCTTTTGTGAGCCTGTGCTTTTTTTTCGAGATAAATAAACCACTTTAGACCAACTCCAACGTGCGACCCAAAGGGACGTCCGTTCGGGGCAGAAAAACGGACACGGCCGTCCGTTTGTGGTCATGCACTCATCGATGCGCCCAACCGACACGACTCACCCCAAAACGTCCGTCTATTTTGGACTTGCATTTGTGCCCAAAAAAACACAAATAGACTTGCAAATAATATGAAAACATAAATATAAACATTAAAAGGCCACACGGCCACAGTACCCAAGTTTGCCATAGTTCATAATTAAACTAAAACTTAATAAAAAGACTTCAAAAAACTAGATAAAAATGGCAAGCTGACACCTGTGTCCAATCGCGAGCTGACGCACAAACAACACTGAACATTGTAACCTGCAGCGAACAATGTCAAAGAACCTCAGCACCAGATACTGTAGAAACCGCTCACTGTAATGGTTGGTTTAATGTAGCGAACCGGTTGTTGGGGTCAACCTTTTTATTTCATTTTTTTTTGAAAAAATAAATATTTTTTGGAAATGCAATTATATTTTAAATTGCTGAACTTTTTAAAAAGAGGAACATTTTTGAATCTGTGAACAAATTTTGGAGAAGGGAACATTTATTAAAACTCCAACATTATTTTAAAATACAACCATTTTTTTGAATAAAATTTGTAAACGGGATCATTTTTTGAAATTCTGGACAATTTTCTACAATGCGAACATTTTTGGAAATTCCTGATTACTTTTCAAAAAAGCAAGCATTTTTGAAACGCAAATATTTGTTCAAATCTTTGTAGAATTTTTTCAAATCAGAAAACATTTTGTGAAAAATATAAAAAAAATTTAAATTTTATGAACGTTTTCTGAACTCGCGAACATTTTTTTAAATTGTGAACTCGAAAAAAAGGAAAAAAAGCAAAAAATCAAAGAACAGTAAAGAAACACAATAGAGAAAACCGGTTCAGAAACCTTCAAGAAGGTTCCCAAAACTGAATTGAAACCTTCCAGAAGGTTCACAAACTGGTTCCTGTGTGAAACAACAGCAATCTAGCAATCTGCCGCAGATAGGATTTGAGCTCAAACTGTACATCTATGCTCAATGAGTATATGGATATAATCCATTGGAAGAAACAAACTTTAAATTCTAAATGAGTTAAATGATGTCCTTATTTAATTTCTATGATTTTAAGAAATGTGCAATGAAGTTTTCATACTTGAGAATATTATCATCCTAGAGCAGTAAAAATTCAATGTATTAGGAATTCAATGGACCGTAAGGAACGCAAATTACAACCTGCTTGGCAAAAGGTTGGTGTGTGATCTCGGCACAACAAAGGCTTCAACCCACCAACGATGCTGCAAGGACCAAGCTCGCCTAGAATCACCGGCAAACAACGCTCTTGTAGCCGGGCGCGGCGGAGCGCGCCAGCCCATCTAGTATAGAACAATTAGGGTGGCAATTACATCTACCTATGCACGTACATGCATGGGCCCACCAAAAATAAGTAGAAACAAGGGAGTTAAACAACCGCCATAGTTGAAGAGAGGAACAAAATTACATGTCATGGCATTAAGAAATATTGGCATTGCTTTGAAAGGAATGTTTGCAGTTGCATATAAGAACTCACAATAGCTATATGCAACTTGACTGAATTTGCACTTTTCTAAGTCGATTTTGTGGGAGGGGGAACGGTTGGAGAAAGCTAGAGGAAGATGCAAGAAAATCGACTTATCCAGAATAAATTTTCAGGCAACTTACATTAACCAGTCTCGAATCCTCAACAAAAAAACATGGATAGCATACGGAAAGAAACTACAGGGAATTCAAAATACGGCGCATCAAGTAATTCAAAACATGGATAACATGGATAGCAACGTGCCCCATAGATTGACATTCTTCATTACTGGTTTCAGACGAATTGTTCTTGAAAAGGGTTTCAGACCAATTTCTGAGTTGCAGGCTGCTCTAGAATTCAGGAGGGACACCCCAATGAGATGCCATTTTTTCTCGAACCCAATGAGATGCCATGCATTGAATGAGTTCCTGAACATCGGTCCAAGGTAGTTTCCATGCAAATTTTATGGCCTTTCAAAGATGTTCCTATGCAATTTTCATGGCCAACATAGCTCAATTCTTGGGACCAAATTTAGAGTTTCGGTCTGCTTTAGAATTCTAGCACAATGATTTGATGTTATATTATATGGTTCATGCTTACATAGTCCTGGACGGTTGCAGGACCAAATTTTAAGCTTGTATAGGCAGATGGTTACATGAGACGAGCTCTTGCTTTTAGATTTCAGGAATACAGGGAAGAGGAAAGAAAAAAGCGGCACTTCGCTAGAATGAATATGCAAGATGATTGATTTATTAAACACAACCTACAAAATTAATTGAGAGTGAATGAACCTTGTGAACATACAAGGATGAGTTAGTAGGTCATCTTGAAACAAGTAAAAGGGAAGTCAATTGTTTGACTCATTCCAGTGACTGTTGTTAACTTGTGCTTCCACATAGTTTGGGTTATAGACAGAGCCCTACTGCTCCCATGGCGGCCAGAAACCTGCAGGTGAGAACCAATAGAGCGACCTCGCACGGAAAGGAACAACACAGTGAGCCATGGTGGCCGCGGCGCTGCTGGCTGGGGGGAAACAGGGTCAGGGAGAGGAGAGTTGGCAACCTTTAGTCTAGCTCAATAAAGTATCTACAATCTCTCATATGAAGTGATCCGGCCCAATATACTTATATAGCTTGCCTCGAACTTTTCAGGAACCATTTTTTGAGCAGTTTTGGGAACCTTCCACGCAGTTTTAGGAAGATTCCATGCGATATTTTTTCCTTGTTTTTCAACATTTTTCTCCACCGGCTTAATGTTTTTTTTTTCATTTCCGCCTTTTTCTTTCTTCTTTTCTATTTGATATTTGAAATGTTATTTCTTTTGACATTTTACAAATGCACATTAAAAAAAATTAGATACATCTTGAACATTTTCCAAATACATGTTGAATATTTTTTAATGATGCTAAATATTTTCAAAATGCATGGTGAACAATTTTCACATACATGTCAAACATTTTTACAAATGCACGATGATTTTTAAAATATGTTGAACAATTTACAAATACACGATGATTTTTTTTAAAGGAAGTTGAACCGGGCTTGAATTACAGAAGATGATTTTTTTTGGATTTGGATAGTTTTTTCTTGTAGAAGGATACGTTTTGTCTGGGTTTTGAAACGCAGGAGCTATATCTCGCTTACATATATACAGAGCGCTTACCTATTGTCTCGTATGAAGTGGGCGCGCCCAATATAGATTGCATCGAACTTTCAGGAGCCAGTGTGTTTCAGGAACCTTCCGGGAAGTTTTAGCAAGATTTCGTACGGTACTCCTTTTTGTGTTTGAGTGTTTTTCTCAACCGATTTTTTTGTTTCTTCTATTTTCCTTTTTTGTGTTTTTATATTTTACAAATGCATGTTTAACTTTTTTAATACACATTAAACTTTTTCCAGATACATGTTGAACATTTTAAAATACATGATGAATACTTTTTAATGCTACTATTTTTTAATGAATGATGAAAAGTTAGATTATTAATTTGAACAATTTTCAAATTTAAGTCCAACATTTTTATTAATACACAGTGATTTTTAAGATAATATGTTGATAAATTTATAAGATAATATTTTCCTTTTCCCCCTTAATCACCGTTGGGTAACCGGAGTGAGGAAGAACGGTGGTGGCGTATATGAAAAAGGGAAATGCGGCACATCTTCAGGTCTTGGTGAAGTGGTCGTCTGCCTCTGGCACTCCCTAAGTTTATGAACTGTTGCACGAGGGGTTATGAAACTCTATAATTTATTGCTGTGGTTAGATTGTTATTCTAATTATTCTCTTACATTTCTGGATACTTGCATAGAGGTATAATCATAAATATGTTGTTTGTTCTTACCCTAGGTTCCACTTCACAATAAATTAACCATAGGTTGAGCCATATAAGTAGTACAAGCGACTTGTCCTTAGCACAATTAAGGATTGAACCACTTGCTGCACCTTTGCGACTGTTATCATTGTTTACTTTCTTGCGATCACTCTTGCTTTCGAATAATCCATCAGACATTTTACAACTTCTATAATGATCTTTTGTTAGTTTCTGCAAACCAATTCCTTCCGCCTCTCATTGGGTTAGACACTCTTACTTATCGAAAAGGCTAACTTGTGGGATATCAGTGGGTCAGACTGGCAACTGGAGTTATATAGATGAATGTTGACGCTAGCTTCTATCTGGATGCTGGTTCGGGAGCTATGGGAGCACTGTTTTTGGACAGCGAGGGGGCTTTCATTGCATCATCCTGCTCGTATAAGGAATTTTCCATGGATGTCGCTTCAGTGAAGGTGTATGCGCTGCCAAAAGGTTTGGGACTCGCCGA